GCAAAGGGGAAGGGGAAGTGGGAGGGGTAGAGGAAAGGAAAGAAGGGAATGGAATTAATATGAGAAAATGAAAAAATGGAAACAAAGTCATTGTAGATAGGGAGGGATGGTGAGGTTGAAGGGAGGGCAGGGGAAGGGGGAAAAATAAGAACCAAGAGAGACTATGTAAAGGTGCAAATTTCCAATGATTAATGTCATTACATTGTATACCTAAAATGTACCAATAAAATAATATTTAAAGAAGAAAGAAAAAGTCATAGGAGTCATACCTAAGTCATAGGAGGTCATGGCATAGAGCTTTAGAAATTTCCTGAGTAAAAATTGAAAGATTTGTTTATCCTAGAAGAAAGTAAAAAGAGTCATATAATACTTCCCTAATTTGCAAGTGCTTTGCACTATATCTTCTGACATACTATTTACTTCTTCACAACAATCGTATGAGAGTGTAGTATTGTTTCATCCTCACGACACCATGAAGGAGACATTATTATTATCATATTTCATCACTCCTAAGACAGCAAAGGATGCAATATACACCCTTACTTTATGTACCACCCAGAAAGAAAGTAGAATGCTGCCAATTAAGCTGCATCAACTGTAAAACAAAACCAAACCAAAAAACCTCACACTGTTTCAGAGATTTAAAATGTGAAATAATGAGTGGCTTAGAATTGATGAAATATGAACTTTCCCTTTTGTAGCCAGGAAATTTATGCTGTGTTTCAGGTCAGGCCGCTGCTGGAACCTGGGCCATTACTTAAATTCAGATCCTCTGACTTCAGCCTAAATGAACTCCAGTTAACTGGACCTAGCAATTGAAGCTGATCTTGAAAGCATGACAGAAGCCTCCCATCATATATTCCTGAAACTAATGCTCTAAAGGAAGTGATTTATCATTAATGGATGACAGCCCTCATGGAGAGTCTTTAATAAGACACAACAAACTATTTTCAAAGGAAAATCTGAATAACAACCTGCCTCTGTCTTTATGATACAACGCATTAATACAATACAAGTAAAACCATAAGCATTACTGAATATGGACTCTGCAGTTGTGAATTCACCTACCTGATAAAAATCACTTGTAACCCCCAAACATGGTGCTTTTGTGGAAGCATGTGGACATGCTCAGCATAGCAAAAATGTGAGACACCAAATGCACAGATTCCCAGCTGAGGCCCAACAAGGCAACATTTACCATCTGTTTTTTTTTTTTTTTCCATTTGTATACTATAAATAAGTGCCCTTTTTGCAATCTACTTACTGCCACATTTTTGTTGTTCTTGTACTTTTTTGCTCATGATTTAACTGCTTTTTAAGTATAACACTAAAGTGCTATTAGAGTTCCTTGGCTTAAGAAGGTTGTCATGTGTCATATGGAGAAAATTCTGTATTTGTATTAGGTAAGCTTCATTCAGTTGTGAGCTATTGTGAGTTCAAAGATATAAAAATCAACAATGCATATTAAATAGGACATCTTTAACCAAAAAGACACATAAAACAAGGCTATGTATGGATCACTTGATGACAGTGTTGTGACTAGAGGCACTCCCATCTTCCTAGAGTGTAGTTTTCGTGTGTAAAGATTGCTTTGGGTGTGACAGTTGAAGCAAAGATTATTTCTGTGGTAGACTTTTGTTTGTACTTATGTTGTAGTTCACATAGGTTTTTATTTCTGATGTTATCTTTTAGGTTTTTAAAGCAAGTAAACAGCTGATGTGAAAATGTTGATGTCTGTTCTAAGCATTCATTACATATTTGATATTTTATTAATGTCTTATTTTCCTTCTAAGTGCACATTGTACAATATAGTAAGAAGCTTCTGAAAAAACAGGAAGAGGAGAGAAGTGACATGACAAGATATGAGAGGAAAGCTAAGCACCTGTGCTGTCAGTGTCAGTGATATGTGTGCTTGCAACATGCAGTTTTCATGTGTGAAGACTGCCTTAGGTATGACAGTGAGACAAGGATTATTTTTGTTGTAGAGTTCTATTGGTATTTTCATTGTAGTTCATATAGGAATTTATTTCTGATGTTCTTTTTTAGACTTTGTACACCAAAAAACAGTCAATATTGAAAATGTTGATGCTTTTTTATAAACATGCGATAAATATTAAAAATGGAATGCTTTATTTTTTCCTGTTAAGTACTCATTGTTTAATACAATAAAACTCTTAAAATTAAATTTAATAATCTACCAATAAAAATATTTCAAAGAATAAATATGGATATTATATGCCCATGTTCATGTGCCTTTATGACAAAATTGACATTGTGCCCTTATGCCTTAGTGTATTGACAATGAAGAGCCACTATGGGTGTGTGTGTGTGTGTGTGTGTGTGTGTGTGTGTGTGTGCGTGTGTGCACGTAAGGAGACCACCCTGCAGCTGTAATCTTGATAAACACATCAGTGTAGGGGAAATGTCCAGTGTGGAAACAACAAATGAAACCGTGCTGTTATAAAAACACTGTGCCTTGCTGGTTTGCAAAAGAAAACTCCACACGATGACTTCCAGAGGGAGCAGAGGGCCTTGGAAGATGGTTTGCTTCCTTGTGGCCAGCGAACGATTTTCCTACGCAATCGCTCATTCTCGAGGAGATTTTGGAAATGAAGTTGGGTTTCAGGTTTGACTCATATGTGTTCCATTTGGACAGTCTTTGTTTTCCCCAGTCTGGTCGGCAGTCCTTCCGGGGCCTTCCTCAATCCCTGGCTGGGGCTAAGGCCCAGCATTGTTTGGGATGAAAAGGTATTGGAAGCCTGGCTGCTGTAATTGGAGCTTGCACCTGCGGATGGGCCTTGGAGGCGGCTCAGTGTGGTCCTGCTCTCTGTGCCTGTGTTTGTGTGTGCATTTTATTTCCTCAATGAGCACTGAATTCTGCATTGTGTTTTTGGCCTGAGTGTCCTGGAGGGGATCCAAGTTGCTCAGCCACTTTCTCTGTTCTGGGTAAGTGGGGAGCCACCCTCTTTACTCTCTGAGAAGGAGATTCTTTACCCTTGCAAATATATCCAGTGTATTTTGATCTAATTGCTTCTGGCCCCAAGAGGGGACTCATCCAGATAAAAGGTGCCCTTTAGGGATAGTGAGCAGGTGACACAGCAGTGCTTTCACTCACAGGCAAGCAGATGTGTTTTGTATGAGTTTCTTGCACTTCACTCCAGTAATATTATCTCTGCCCTGCCCAGGAGTGATGACTGGCCACAACCCTGCACCCAGTCCAAGAAGAGAAATGGAGAAACTGCTCAAGGGGACCACATGGCTGTGCCTCTATCCCTGCTTCCAATGCCCAAGGGGTCTTTCTAAATGCACATATTTAATGTTACAATCTATCAAATTTACCATACCTGTATGCCCATGAACTCACCACCATAATCAAGGTAAGGAACATATCCATTGCTCCCCAAATTTCCTTACATCCCTTTGTAATCTCTCCCTCCTGACCCCATCCACCACATCCTCAGGCAATACTGGCCTGCTTTGTATAACTATAGATTGTTAGTATTTCTTTAGAGTCCTATTTAAGTGGAATTAGACAGTGTGCATTCTTTTTTGGGTTGCTTTTTACACCCAGCATATTTTGAGTTTCATTCATGTTGTGTATTAACAGTTCATTCATTACAGTTGAGTAGTATTGCCTTATTGGGACATAGTACAGTTCACTTTTTCATGCCCTTCCCATTGGGCATTTGGGTTGTTCCTAGTTCTGGGGCTATTATCAGTAAGAAGCTGTGAAAATATGTGTATAACTCTTTGTGTAGATATGAGTTTTTTTGTTTTTGTTTTTTTTGAGACAAGATTTGGCTCTGTGGGCCAGGCTGGCCTTGAACTCAAGACGATCCTCACCTCAGCCTCCCCAGTGCTCCAATTACAAGTGTGCACCACCATGCCTGGCTTTCATTTTTCTGGGGTAAAGACTTAGGAGAGCAATGGCTGGATTGTATGATAAGTGTACATTTAGTATTTTAAAAACCAAACTCTTTTCCAATGTGGTTATAACAATTTCCTTTCCTACCAGCAGAGCCTGTTCCTACACACTCTTACCAATTATTGGAGTTGGTTTAGTCATTTCAATGTGTATGCAATGGGATCTCATTGTGGGGTTAATTTGCTTTCCTCTAATAATTAATGATGTTGGACATCTTTTCCATATGCTTACTTTTTGCCTGCATATATTATTTAGCAAGAGGACTATTCAGATCTTCTGATTATTTCTGAAACTCACTTGTCTGCTTTCTCATTACAGGTTGAGCAGCCCCAATCTAAAAATCCAATAATCCTAAATGCCCCAAAATTCAAAACTTGTTGGGCACTGACACGATGCCACAAATGGAAAATTTCACACCCGACCTCATGTAATAGGCCATATACAGTCAAGATGTAAGCACATTAAAAATATTGTATAAAATTACCTTCAGACTGTAAGTATGAACATAAATGAACTTTGTGTTTAGTCTTGGGCCCCATTCCCAAGGTACCTCATTATGTATATGCAAATATTTCAAAAGGGAACAAAATCCAAAATCCAAAACACTCTGGTCCCAAGAAGTTCAGGTGAGGAATATTCAACCTGTATTGAGTTTTGAGAAGCCATTATGTCTCCTAGGGTTATATTTTATTTAGAGTTGTCTATGAATGTAAGATATTGCATGGAAAGTCTTCATAGAATTTTTAGCACCAATCAGAACATATAGGGGATAGTTTAGGTACAAGGCCTTTTTAAAAAAATTAATTTTATTAGTACACTTTTGACATACATAATGATCACATTCATCATAGGGAATTTGTACCTGTACATAATATATTTTAATTATTTTTTTCTCATTCCCCTACCTTCCCTTCAATCCTTTTTCCTTCCTCAATTTACAGAACTTTGTTTCTACTGTTTTCCTTCCATTCTTTTAACTTTTTTTTGTCTCTGTTCTCCTCCTTCCCTTCCTGATCTCCCTTCCTTGTTCCTCTTCCCATTTGAGCATTTTCTTCCTAATTCCAAATATCTGTTTTCCATTTTGGTCCTTTTTTACCCTTTGGGTTTCTCACACAAGAGAAACAATGCTATATTTAAACATGTGTGTCAATTTATTTCACTTAAAATTATGGTCTCAAGGTACATTCATTACCTAAAAATGTCTCAAGTTTATTCTTCTTTATGGCACAGTAGTACTTCATTGTGTATAAAAACTGCATTTCCTGGAGCTATTTGCAAGATTTAGCTATTACAAATTGTGCTGCTATAAACATGGCTTTGTATATATCACTGTGGTGTGAGGCTTTTAACTCTTTTGGGTTGACACCTACAAGGAGAAAAGCTGGGTCAAATGGAATCTCTAGTTTTCATTTTTTGAGGCATCTCCTTACTGATTTCCATATTGGTTGTACCAATTTATATTCCCCAAACAGTTGAGAAGAGTTCCTTTTCCCCCACAGCCTCACCAGCTTGTTATTGGTTGATTTCTTGATGATAGCCATTCTTTCTAGAGTGAGATGGAATTTGTTTTAATTTACATCTCTTGAATGACCAGTGATGTTGAATATTTTTTCATATATTTATTTGCTATTTGTACTTCTTTATCTTAGAAGTGTCTATTCATTTCAGATGCCCATTTTTGGATTGGGGTTTTAAATTTGGGGAGGTCTGGTTTGTTGTAGTTCTTTATACAGTATAGATATTAGTCCTTTGTCTGAAAAATACTTGGTAAAATTTTTTCCCATTCTGTGGATTGTCTCTTCAATCAAATGGTGGTTTCTTTTGCTGTGCAAAAGCTTTTTAATAAGATGTGATACCAGTTGTTGATTCTTTGTAATAGTTCCTATGCAGTTGAGGTTTTGTTCATAAAGTCTTTGCCTACACCTATGTCTTAAAGAGTTTCATCTATTCTTTCATCCAGCAGATTGTTTCTGTTTTAATATTTAGATCTTTGATCCATTTTGATTTTAGTTTAGTCCAAGAGAGATATGGGAGATATGGATCTAGGTTTAATCTCTAGCATGTGGAAAGTCAGTTTCTCAGAACCATTTATTAAAGAGGCCATGTTTCTTTCTGTGTGGACAGGGCCTTCTAGCCCTGGAGGTCATAATCCATAATGGGCCTCATTACGTCTTACATGAAAGATGCAGGGGATATTCACTTTTTGTGATTCTTGGGATATTAACAATGAAAAAAAATCTCAAAATACACATATAAAACATGGTATTTTTATAGAACAAATGAATGATTTGGAATACGTATCATTGGAGATGATGTCAAGATTCTAATTATTTGGTCTGCTATAGGGTCCAAACAAAGGTCTCTCCTGGCCACCACCAGCCACCTTGCAATAGGCCATTAGTGGTCAGTACCAGTTTGAGGCTCTTCTCACATAGCCTGTATACTCCCACAGTTATATCTGGTATGGTTACTCTTTAATCATGTTTGGAGATCAAATGAATGCTATAAGGATGGTTATGGGAAAAGGGACCACTTCCTGGATATATACAGATATTCTGTCCAAATGGTAAACCTGGGAAGGTTAATCTTGACCCTTGGGCCTTTTGGACCCCTTTTCTCTAACCACCTGCAAGCTGATGGGGACTGCAGCTTGCTTTGGGTTGGTTATAATCCTGGTCTTTTCTGCTTATTTTGAAGTAAAAATGATTCCAGGGTTATGAGAGGGGCTGCTACATTTAAATTCCCAGAGACTTCCTAGTCCTGCTCAACTAAATTCCTACCCTGGGGATTCTACCATCCCCTCCATGGAATTTTAGTCTTCCTTTGTCTCTCTGTGTTACTAAGGTAGTGGTTTCCCATGTGGGGTGATTTTGCCCTTCAGAAGCCATGTGCCATTGTCTTGAGACATTGTGGTTGTCACGGCTTGGGAGATGTTACTGGCATATAGAAGGTAGAGGCCAGGGATATGACTGAACATCCTACAATATACAAGTCAGCCCCCATAACAAAGAATTATCCAGCCCCAAAAGCCAGTAATGGAAAAAATGAGAAACATTCAGCTTTAAGATTTAATCAGAACTGACTGTATGATTGACATAGAATCTGACAAAACAGGTTCTTTGTTGTTTATTAATCAGGCAAGGGCCACAGATAGACATAGAAAGTAGGTCATGAAGCTTGAAAAGAACCAGCTTCCCAAGGCCTCTCATCTTCCTGCTTCACTTTTCTCTCACTCCTTTTCTCCTGCTATTAAGAGCTTTGGAGAGTAACAGTCTTGGTTTCAAACCCAAGTTCTGCTCCATGGTGTCTTTGGGCAGATTGTTATAGCTCTTTACACCTTTATTTCTTCATCTAAGAAGTGAAAATGACAAGACTTCTCAGAATACTGAGAATTAAACAAGAGAAGTCAAACTATGAGTTTGACAGTGCCTGGCACATGGGAAGAACTCAGTAGGTTCTGATTATCCTTACTCCATGAATGAATTGCCTGCTGCACACAAAGCACCTTGAGAGGTGGGTTTCCTAGCCACTCAGCACCAACTGCTGACAAATTTTTATTAGGCCCCAAAGACATGTTATAGACTTTAAAAATCTTTATGACATTGATTCTCATCCACTAAAAACAAAACCTGATGGATAAGATGAACTCACTATGTTTTGTACTTCATTTTAATAATAAAAGAAATACATGGAAAGTGATT